ATAGTGGAAAGCCAATTAATGGGGCAGGTTTAAGGCAGTCATTGCCCGCAAGGCAGTTGTCATGCCTGCCTCTCCTCATTAGTGGTCTCACATTTAGTCTTTGTGCCTGTCTCCCCTTGAGTCTAGCTGCCTGGGAAGGACAAGAGCTGTTTGGATGTCTATCGGTCCCCAGCAGCCATGGAGGGAAGCCTGATTGAACCAGTCCCTCCAGCTGCTCTGACTTTCCTGGTGTTCTCGCTGCCATGACCAGCAAGGAAGGGCCAACTGGTTCCCTGGGCCTTTTGTTGCTCAAAGCGAGAGCCTCCTTATGGGCCCTGTAGCCCTTGGCTGGATGCTCCTTCCTCCTCTTGTCCCTCTGGCAACCATTTAATAAGCAAACCCTCCAGTGATGCTTTTCCTGGCAGGCCCATGATGTGGCTATTTGAATTCTGCCTTTTTCTTTTTAACCAGGTTTATTTTCTTCCTCTTCCAGGTAACTAGTAATGCTTATGGGAGGGCTCTCACCTCCTCTTGCTGCCTTAGGTGTCTGAGTACCACTTGCCCTGCTCGCTCAGACAACTGGCAGTCTATTTGTTTTCAGTCTCCCTGGAACAAGCCTGGCCTTTTATTTTTGTAGCTTTATTCTGCCCTGCCAGCAGCCCTGGAGCTCCCTTGCCAAAGCAAGAGAGGAGAAGAGTTGAGCTCCACGCACTGAGATGCGACTGGCACTGGTGCGAGATGCGAAGCAGGCTTGGATTTAGCACATGGCCCAGCTGTTTTTGTTTTGATTTCTTTATTTGTTTGCTACTTTCCCTGATGCCTGCTGCTTCCCTCTGGAGGATCTCAGCTTTTTTTTATAAACAAATCAAAATTTAAAACAAAAAAAAGGGGGGGGGGGTGCGGGGAGAAGGTGTTGGAGGAATCGGAGACATTTGGAAATGTGCGCAAAGCAATGTGGTGACGTTTGCCTCAGCTTGAAACAACAGCTCGGAGGCAGATCAAGGCTCTCCCTCTTGGCTGTCAGTCCCCTTCCTCGGCTGCATCCCCCGGCGGGCTCACAGCACGCCGGGCTCGCTCCCTTTGCACTTTCCCTCTGCAACCACCAAGTGAATATTATATGACATTTTAATAATAACCAAAGGCTGCGGATTTCACATGACTCTGGGAGTTGGGCTATGGAGCTGGGCTGTGGTGGGTTTAAGTTTTTGGAGGAGCAGCTAAATTGGAGGAGCTGTGCAAATCCCGCACACTCCTAGGCTGAGCATCTGCGCACTATACACTGAGGTGGTGACTCAGGTTTGCATCTCAGTTAGGTGGAGTTGGGGAAAGTATCATCAGTTTAAACCTTGCACAGAGACGTGGTTTAACAGCTCCCTGCCTGCAGTTCAATCTCTTCAATGAACATAGAATGAAGCATAGATCAGAGTGAGGCACAGGCTGAAAAATTCAGACCCCCTTCCAAAATATGAATGTGCCAGCATTTGGGTGTGTAGGTCTGGAGCTGGAGTCTGACTCACTTGCAAATAGGGACCCTTTGCAAAACATGGATCAAGGTTCAAATTCCTGTCCCTCCTCCAAAATTAAATAAAGGTTGAAGAAATTCTGAGAACCCAGTGTTTTGGTTCTGGGCCATCTAAGAGGGGTGAAGTATGTGCTTAAGTGCTTTGTTGAATAGGAAGAGACTTGAGCATGTGCTTAATGTTATTAAGTGCTTAGCTGTTTTTGTTGAATCAGGGCCCCTGGCTTTTAAAGTCAATACTAACCCCTTAGGCTGCATCTGAAAGGATTTGGAAAAGAAGTGGCATCCAGATACTGCTGGATGTTTGACTGCTGAGCCCTGCATTCCTGCTTTGAAGGCTTGTTTCTCTAAATGTGCTCTCATTGCTATTCCAAATCATCTAAATGACTTGTCCCTGGCCACCAGGTGATTATGAAGAGAGCATGGGGAGTTATGGACATTTAACACACGCCCCGGCACAACTCCCAGAGAAGTTCAGCTGTCCCGCAGTTTCCATCCATGATCTCAAGGCAGCAGGGCAATACTGGGATGTCGAAGTGTGACGCTGGTTTGCTGGTCCAAGTGGAGAGGCACACTGCAGGCCTTCGGATATCCTCTTTTGGTGGCTGCTGTGCTGCTCCTTGTATCCAGCTTCTCCTTGTTGTGAGAGCCCCTGAAGTCAGTTTGGTTAAAAGGAGTGGGTGAGGATGAGCTAAGCTGCCTTCCCGGGGGTGACGTGGGTTAGGGAGTGATCAGAGGAACACAGCTGGCTGATCTGTCGCCCACAGCAGGGAACAGAGAGTAGCCGCAGGCAGGGAGCTTTTCAGCCAACGTAGATGCTGCTGGAAAGGAGGTGTCCCCAAAAGTCTGCAACAAGAGGATGGATATGAACCTCATCCCCTGAAATAGCGTTTTGGTGGCACAAGAGCTGGAACTGGCAAGCAGCGTTTGAGAAAAATGAGACTCCAGAAAGAAGGGGGGAAAATAGCAACTTTTCCTCCTTTACAGGTAAAAGAGTGTCTGAGACCAGGATGGAAATAGATGGAAAGCTTATGCACAGATGAAAGGCTTGAAATGAAATACATTATGCATGAGACGAACAGTTGGAATCTGAGAGCCACTTGGAGGTAATCATCTGAAAAGCGGGAACAGTTCTGGGCAACAATTTCAGCCTATTGCAGAGGCACCAAAATGGTTACCAGAAACTAGGTTTCCTTTTAAAGGAAAGGCAAAGTTAAAATCGCAGGACTGGAGTGGCTTTCTCCGGACAAACCAGATGCAGCCCTCCCTCCTCTGTGTCCTCTCCCAGGTCTGGAGGGACAGGCAGGCTGGCTGCTGAGTCGGTCCCGGGACAGGGTTGGCAGTGCTGTCCCATGACTAACAGTGCCATATGAGAGAAAGGCTTTGATTTGCAATGCCAACATCTTTTGAAACGAACTAACTTCCCCAGCGCTGCCTTGCTGTTGCAGGCTATTTTTCTAAGAAAATGTTCCTGTCTGCACATCTGATGCTAATACAGCAAATGGTAACGCAAAGATGCAGCACGCCCTGAATCAACAGCTCAGCTGTGAGATTCAGATTAAAGTTTTGGGCCAATAATTTCTGGAAATTGAACTGCCATTCTTTTCTCTTGCAGGTTTGCAGATGCCTGCTTTGATAGAAAATGTGTTCTTCCAGGACAACGCCTTCATTAAAGAAGATTAAAAAGTGATATTCCCTCTTAAGCCAACATTGGTAAGAGCCTCAATACTCAAAAAATGGTGGAACAATGAGAACAACAGAGATTCAGGTACCATTGCAGGTCAGTTTGCACCTGAATTCAAAGCCAGCCTTTTGTGTGCGGCAGTTTCTCAGCTCAGGTTTTAAGATAAGGCTTAGAGACTGACAGCAAGTCTCTCCAGAGCCCTATCTGTTCCGATTCAGATCCTGCTGTTTATGTGTCACAGACTCCATGACTGCACACCTGCCTTCCAAGTTTTATGGGACTCACTGATGCAAAGCCTGGAGCCAGTGACAACTCGCCTTCCTCCAGGCACGTGCCTTAAGCAACAGCAAGAGGTCTGTGTTTGTTCTCCCCAGCACAGTGGAAAGGGAATTGTTTCAGGCAAAGAGATTTACGCTGGGGGTTTTTTTAGTGGTTCCTTGACTTGTTGTTATACACTAAATGAGACTCACTCCTGTTAACCCTCTGAGTATAGAAAACCAGGAGAGGCAATGGGTGGAGATGAAGCTTAAAATTTTAGGTTACGTTCTTAATTGCAAAATTAAGTTCTTAGATGCAAAGAATGTGAGGGTGAGATAGCGATGAGTGAAGTGATGCACTGAGGACCGCCTAGCAAACCGATACTACCACAAGATCTTTTGAGCCTTCTTCCTTTACAGGTGTGACGACTTCTGGTTTAAAGGGAGAGCCCAAATGACAGGGCATGGTACACCTAATCTCTTCTGCCTCCGCCACTGAAGTCTTGTGACCTTGGTTGAGTTATTTAGCCCGCCTCAGCTTGCCCGTATCCAAAAGACGTTAAAAGCCACTTCATTAAATGTGCTGTTTGGTGCAAACAAGATACATGCAGGTTGCCTCTGATTCATATTCAAGGGCTGTTTTTCACTGGCAGTGGAGCTGATGTAAAGGGGCCTTTGTCCAAGTGAGCATCAGCTGAGACTAAATGAACTCCTTTAAAGGCTGTAGGGTTAGAATTTGCTGAGGAAAAAAAAAACCCTACAGGTCCTTGCCGTTACTGTCAGGTTTGTATGAACTAAAACCTGTTGTGGACATAGTTTGATCTTGCCCGGCTTCCCACAGCGTGCAGGAAGGTTTGATCGGAAAGCCTCCCCGTGAGCATTTCTGCCCAGCTCCAGGCTCCCATCAGGTGGCCTGCTTCAGCTGAGGGGTCCCAAGGCCATCCAAAGAGCACAACTGCAGCCAGCTCTGCCTTCGTCGCAGGCAGTTTGAATGCAAATTGTGCTGCAAATTATATCCTTTCTTCTGGGAAGGGCTTGCTACTTTGAGCATGTGCCTCTCTGGTCCTAGGTTGAAAGCTGAGCTGTTTATGGATGTGTGGTGAGGTAGGCGCAATGATTCAGCTAGCAAGGAGAGCATGAAATATATAAGCCTGTTTGGGACAAAATACTTGGGCCACACAGGTGTCACTATTGCTATACCTTCACTACTGACCATACATTAGCTGGCTAGGTTAGCCCTGTGTGGGGTAAGTGTTCACACAGGCTGAAACGGTGCTACATCACTGCATAACAAGAGAGCTTTACTGTTGCTTTACTGAGTTATAGTAGCAATGTTACCGTGGTTTTGCAGTGTCCCCAAAGCAGAGCCGGCTAGAGCATTGCCTCTCTTGCCCTGCTGCGCTTTGCCTCTCTCCTCCCTACCCCTACATGGATGTCCTTCTGCTGCAGCACAGGGAAAAAGGAAGGCTGGAGGTGAGACCCGTTCTGCCCTCCTTGCTCTCGGCAGAGAGCTGGAGCAGAGTGGGGCTGCTGGGCATGTGGAGCTGAGAGGGGAACGCAGATGGGTTTTGCTGGAGGAGCAGAGGGTCTTAGCAATGTGAAGGAGCAAGGGAGGGCTCAGCAGCATGAGTGGTTCTGTGTGCAGGCTGCCATGGGTAGGTCTCAGAAGGCTAGATCAGGGGTATTGGTGATGGCAAGAGGGAGAGATCTCTGTGTAGCCAAGCGCAGGTACGGTGGGACTCCCTTTCCTGGTAAGCAAGGATGCGAGGTTCTCTAGGGAAGATTGAGTACTGAAGGCAGAGGGAGAGGAGAAGGGAAGGCAGCCAGTGGTAGGACTGGGTCTGGCCTTTGCATGGACTTGCTTTACTGGACTGGCTGCCTTTGGAGCCTACGTTAATGTGGGACCTGAAGAGCATGAGCTCATGCTCAGTGTCTTCTTGTCCCTTGAAGAGTCCTTATCGATCCTGACAAATTCATGCCTAACCTTTTGTCAAAGACATCTTATGATGGAGAAGCTTTTTCCTCCTCAGGCTGTTCCGCTTCCTTCCGTTGGGAATTTTTCCCAGGCTGTCTAAATCTCAAACTGTAATTTAAGCCCATCATTTCTATTCTTCCACTCCCAGTGGCTGATTATTCACAGTTGAATAGATATTCCTCTGCAAAGGCCATGCTGGTGAGGGCTTTTCCCAGCCTGATGTGCTGAGATGAACACTGGCAGCATGGGTGCCAGAAGGCATTAAACTAAGCAGAAGTCCGTGTCAGCAAAGGTTAGGCTTTTTTAAATGTAAAGATGAAATCCAGGCCAAGAGAAGAAAAGGAGTCAAAGTACAAGGACATCAGACATGATATTGTAAGGATAAATCAAAAGTAATTGCAGCAGAACTCAACTGACATCATCTGCTTGGTGATGAGGGAGAAAGGAAAAAAAAAGTGAGAAAGAAAGTGTCACCTGGAGCAGTCCAGCTCTGACTTCATTTGAACAGTGTCCATGAGCCTGGGGAGGGAATGCAGTCCCCATCAGTTAGCATTAGGGCATGATGTATTAGGTGATTTGCTAAGATGCTGGTAAAGTTTCTATACAGTGAACAATGAGGGGGATAGCTTCAAGCTCTGCTTCTTGTCAGCTGTGAACATCATGAGTGACACTGGTTTGTTTAACTCCATGTTCCCCCTCCCCGTGTTGTCCTTATCAGACCCTCTCTTATCCTTAAAACAGAGGTAAAAATGGAGCTGATCTTGCCTGGCTTTCCACCCTTTCCATCCAATTCTCTCCCACGCCTTCCCTAATCTAGGGACTAGAAGCAAGTTTTCCATCTTCCTTGTCAGTTTGACACCTGATGCGGGCAGCAGGCGTTGCTGGAGCAGCACTGCGATCCCTCGCTGGCCTCAGGGCTCACCAGCCCTCCAGAGGTTCTGCACTGCTCTGGCTCCTCTGCTAAGCAGAAGTGGGTCTTTCATGGCCTTAGAGAGCACCACATCATTTGAGGCAGCAATGGGTGATTCAAAATCAGTCCTCTTCCTGACTCAACAGATGGGCTGCTGCCTGCAAAAAACCCCCGAATGTCTTTGCATGGCTCATAGTCTGACAGGAATGTCTGGAGAAGCTCTAAAGTCACTTTCCCACAAGCAGCTGTTGTCTGCACCCTCTTCCATGGCCTCCTGGGTGACTTCTTGTTTTGCATACAGTCCATCCTTCCTTCCACATTCCCTCTGGATGGAGGTTTTTGCTGGAGGGTTTCCTGCTCTTGTCTCTTCATTCCTGTACAACTCTGCCTTCTCAGTCGTGCCAGTGCAACTGCTCATGCTTAAAAGTGGATCGTTGAAATATCTGGGTTAACAAAAAGGAAAGAAGAGGTTTTTTTAACTCAGATCAGGATAGCAATCTGTTTTCCAGCCACAGTCCCTGCACAGCTGGTGGGACGATGATCTGCAGCAGAGGAATAGCCAAATGTAGGAAATGCCCAAACTAACAGTCAGGAGCTGGGAAAGGAACAGCATCGCCATTCTCCCCAGTTCCAGCGCGTGTTCCCCTCCTGTACATCAGATCAGGGGAGTCAGATCATCGCAGTGACCCCACGGGAAATGTCTGTCCCTTCACCTGGCACATGGGCAGTGGCACTGGGGGTTAGGGAAGGTGGGACTGTGTCTTTTGGTGGGAGACCACAGTCAGATCAGATTAGAGTGAGGGGAAACTGGACCCTTGAGGGACCTAATCAAGTTGTCAGTGGTTCCTAATGTAGCAGTCACTACCAGGTTTTGCCATAACTACTAAATGTAGTAATGTTTTGACAGGCTGGGGTAGTGCTTGTCATCTGAATATTGTGAGTTTGTGTTAAAGATCCTACTCCGCGTTCTGCGTTTAAGGAATTTGGCCTCTGCGTCTTGTTGACAGCATGGAAATGTTTCAATGCCATACAAATGCAAGGAAATAAATGTAGGCTGCAGAAGTCTGAGAAGAGTAAAATGCATCATAGGTATGCTGCAGTTACCCATCACCCAGAGAAATCGGTTTTGTTTGACAAAAAAATGGAAACACTGCCAAGATATTTTGCTTCAGTTTAGGTTATTTGCTAGGATTGTTTGTGGTTAGCAATGAGCGCAAGGTTCACTTGTAATAATAATGTAACCATGGTAATACGATAACACAAACTGATGTCAGTCTGATTTGCTGATAAGATTTATACCCTATTATATTATCCAATGCAATTAAGAAATGCTTAGAAAATTAACATTAGAATAGATTAAAATAAAGTGTCAGAGGCATCGTGACAGCTGTGGGTCTCAAGCATAGTCCCCAGGTGGATGTTTCTGGATAACGTATCACCCTGACTCCGACGGGCTGTGTTACAATAAGCAAGGAAAGCAATTGCTTTCATTTTACAAACAGGGAATTGCAATGTGCCTCTTAATTTCTGCAATTTCCTGCACTCATTTTAGTGTGACTGGTCAGAAATGAACCTAGGAAAAGTAACAAGTGTTAATTGGCCCCATTTAATCTAAACTGAATTTAATGATCAGCAGGGGTGGAAGAGGGAAAGACAAATGTATGCTTTGGGATGTAGGGGTTCGCTCCCTGTAGGAAGGAAATTAATGGTGAGATGGGGATCAGAAACTCTTGCCCCTTGCTATGTGTTTTGGATTCACTGCCCATCGTGCCAACCACTGCTTTCTCAGGGCTTCTTTTATATTACGAGTGGCAGCCACCTGCTTTTTCTTGTCTTGTAAGCAACATGGAGCAGAGACCATCTCTTTATTCCCTATATATGAAATGCAAAGGGAACACAGCATTTCTTTCCCCTAATAGTATAATCATAAGAGATGAACCACGATAATCATAAAAGATGAGCCATTTCATAACTGCCTCTGTACTAGCCAGAATTACACTTCTCATAACATCCTAGCAACAGAGCTCCTCAATCATCATCTCTTCTCCTTCCCTGCAGATAACTCACTGCCTCCCTCCTTGCAGTTTCTATGTTCGAGTTTAGGATGGGGAACCTGGGATTATTTGTTTTTGGAGGATTTCAGCTGATTACCCCAGTGAAGGAACAGCAACTTTACAAAGGAGTGTAAGAGCAAGTCCTTCAGCTGTTGCCCCAAGCCAGGAGAGGAATGGAAGACAGCTTTGGACTCGGGGATTTTTTTTCATGTGAGAGTCCTATTACTTAGCCCTTGCTAAGAGTTTTGAGATGTTTGGTTTGCTGAGATAGAGGCCTCCAAGGGCTGTCTAGTCAGAGCTAATCTGGGGATTGGGGCCTCCCTCTTATCTCAGACTAGTTTTTCACTGGGATGATTGACTGCAGTGTAACCGAGAGGGGAGAAACCAGTCTTAGTCTCTTGTTCCTTCTGTGCTTAAAATATCTGTTTTACGTGAGGACGATACCTAGCAAAGGCACCCTTTTCTCCATCTTCTCACCTCACTGTCCTCTTCTGGTTCTGTCTTTCATCTATATTCCACTACCTATTGCCAGACTTTTTCTCTTGCTGCTTATGGACTCTTTTATTTTGTTGTTTTCTGAATGGTGCCTTCCTGACTAAATTAAAGGGACTGTATTTTATGCTCATTCTCTTTGGTCTTTCTGCTGCCTTCAAACCCTGCCTTTTCTGGCTCCCCCTCCCCTTGTCTCCAGGACCTACACTCTGCTGAGCTGCATCCTAGTTCTTCAATAGTCTTCTGTGGCCCTCCCCTCGCTCATGGTGTCTTTGGTCACATCTTGTTTTCCTTCTATTATTCACGTAATTTGGCATGTCTTGCTGGCTGCTCACTTGCACATCTCCTTCTCCCATGCTGTCCAGCCTCCTAATTCCCACTGCTTCTCTGGCACCCTATTATTCCTTCATCTATGGGGAGAAACGCGAGTTCCTCTTCTTCAGATTCCCCTTCCCTTCCTCTTCGCTGATCCTAGCCGCACAGTGAGTCTGGTTCAGTCGAAGCTGCATTCTCCTCTCCGTGTGATGTAGGCAGTTGACTGTTTTGGCAGTTCTTGTGTTTCTTTCCCTTCCTGGAACCGATGCACTGCGAAGGATGAACACAGAAATGTCAGCAGGGAGTACAGGAGACGAGCAGTATCTTATAGTCCTCAGAGCGGAAGAGGTGACTTGGGAGGGAGGAATCGGACCGAAATCTACCAAATGCTAAGCGGCAAGATAAATAAATCTGAACATTAAGACAAATTTCATTTAGTGCTGCAATTTGTTTTTGAAGCAACGTCTACATTGCACAGTGAACAACAGCACAGAAATAGTCGAAATAGCTTTGCGTAAATATTGCATGAAGCTTTTGTGTACAAACGCATAGAAGGCACCGAGCTACATGCAAAATCTGACTAAAAAGGGTGAAGGAAAATGTGGGAGCTCTCTGCTTCCATATCTGGAGAGCTTCTGGTACCCGCTTGGGAAAATAACTCTGCATTGCAACACAGCTTTCAGCATAAACATGCTCAGAGGGTGCTGCGTGCCAAGCTGCACGTGGGAGAGAAAGCCATGGAGCAGGTTTTTAGGTCAGCAGCGGTGGCCTATAGGTTGTGGGGCAGGGGCTGAACCTACTTCTGGGCCTTTTATGGGCCCAGATATATAAAATGAGTAGAGAGACTGTGGTCCAGTATGGGATTTGGGTTTTATTTCCAGTTTTGCTTAGCAACCTCAGTCAATCCTTTGCCCTTGGGGCATCCCTTGTCCTTTCAGTGTTTGTCAGTTCTCTCTGTGGCTGCAATTTCATGGTCTCTTGAATCTGGCAGTGACATTGCTCCCCAAAGGTCTCGCCCTGCCTTCTCTGGCTGCTTATTCCTGTGCCGCCTCACTTCCCCCCTTTTGCTGGCACATACGTCCACGTCTACATTAGCAGCTAGGACAGCATAGCAGGCATGGATTTACCGAGCAGTAGGGCTGGACTGAGGACCTGCCATCCATGCTGTAATTATTTCAAGGGCGTTACTTTGGGCTAGTTGTGTTCTCGTCCCGCAGACCGAATGTCCATTAATGGACAACCATTAGCGGTCGGAGTGCTTTAGGTGTGCTCCCTTCTTCTGCTTTTGTCTTACCCCAAATCAGCTCAGATCATTTGTTCTAAAATCCCTCTGCGATGTGAATCACTGCATGGTAAGCCGGAACGACCTAGAGACTTGGTTCAAAAAGGCACTCGTAATCCAAACTAAAACATTAACATAGATGCACTGTGCTGACACGGCTGTGTGGTGAACCAGCTCTGGGAAGAGATCAAAAGCAAAAAGAAACGGAGCTAGCTTTAGCTTCGACCATCTCCGAGCTGATGCGTGTGGCCTCACGTACATTTGGGCCAACATTTGGGAGGGACCGAGGGGCTGGTTATCAGCTGCAGGAGGAAAATGGATATCTTTTTTAGAAAGCACTTTACACTGGTTTAAGAAGATGGTGAAATAATGATCTATGTCAGCTGCAGGCTCTTGGAACATGAACCAACACCTACAACGGATCAAGTAGGTGTACGGCACACTGCAATGTATTGTCTACTGCAAAAAGCATGGAAGTGGGGAGACGAATTTCATCTGAGACCTCTCAGTACCACAAACAACCATAATCTTCTGAGGAACAGAGGGAGAGCAGGAAAGAGCATTTCATTATGCTCATAACGTCTGTGAGAGCTGCTGTACGGCAGGCTCACATCTCTCCAAACAAACCCCATATTGTAAAGGGCTCCCTCAATGCTCTCTTCTTCCTCTTCCACTCTCCTCCCTCAGAACATGTCTGCAACTCAGTTTTTGCTCTATTTTGATACTAACATTTTTCTTTTTTTCTTCGGCATCTGCATTTCTCCTGCCCCCCATTCCACCGCGTGCCCGTTGAAAACCTAATTGCAGATCCCTTGCTGCAATTAGTCTTAGATGCTGTTAGGAAGTCCACTTCGTGATGGCTTTTTTTTGGCTAGTCGACTCCGAACGGGCTTTGAAGCAACACCTCGCTGGCGCTTTGCTCCTCGTACCTCCGCCGCGCTCGGCGCGCTGGTGCGAGGACTGCCACGTTCTCCCCTGCTTTCCACTTTTCCCTACCCTCTCCTTACCCCCTCACTTCTTCAGGCCGGGATTTTTT